GCGGCTCTGCTGCTCCCAGTACCTCGGTTAATGGGTCGTGAGCCAGCTCTGCGTTCCTGAGAGCTGTGCCCGCACGTTTGCAGGATGTCTAGACATAGCCGGTGGGGTTTCCTTGGTGAGCAGGAGGAGGATGAGCCCTGCGAGCCTCCTAAAGTGTTGTTTTTGTTGTATGGTAGCAGTAATGGCATGGAAATAGCTGTGGGCACGGGTGAACCCTCCTCAGCCACTCGCGCAGCTGTGCGCTGAATGGTGCTGACGCAGAGTGATTCTTGTCTGAAAGTGCTTTTTCTAATGGTAAAATTGAATCTGTTGGCAGGTAATTTCATGAACGCGGAGAAAAGAAATCTTGTGCAAGAATCAGCTCAGAGCAAACGTCTTACTGATGATGGCAGTGTTTTTCCTTCATTTCCTGCTACAGGAGGCGGAAGATGTTTCCATGTTGAAATTGAAATTAAAATTGTGTCCCTCATCTTCCAAATGCTTCTGGGTCGTACATGCAGGAGCAGCGTGGGGCTGGACACAGCCTCAGGGCAGCACAGGGGAGAAGGTGGGGACTGTGCAGCGTCTGTGCTCCCAGGAGCCTGGGAATCCCTGGCCCTTCTCAGTGGGTTGCAGGGGTTTACGTTGCCTGTGTGTCCTCAGTTTCCCTCTGCAGAACAGCTGCCCTTCTGCACAGCCTCGCCTGCTGCCTCTGTTTTTGGATGGTGTTAGGACAACTGTCCATTTAGCAGCTTGGAGTGACCCCAGCTCCCCTGACCCCAGCCCCGGAGGTGTGTTAGAGCTGCTTGCTCTGAGCTTCAGCCTGGCAGTAGAACAGGGGGAGAGCTGAGGAGGGAGGAAGCAGTCAGGTTGCCCAGAGAAGTTGTGGCTGCCCCATCCCTGGAAGTGTTCAAGGCCAGGTTGGAAGAGGCTTTGAGCAACCTGGTGTAGTGGCAGATGTCCCTGCCCATGGCAGGGGACTTGGAACTGGATGATCTTGAAGGTCCCTTCCAACCCAAACAGTTGTGTGATTCTATAATAAAATGGAAATGTAACCAAACACCCTCTTCTGGGACAAGATTTGCACAGAAATGTCTATCATATATGTACAAACCTGTTTAAATGAGTGGAAAAGCCCAAGCAGAAGGGCTTGGTCTGGGAAATGCTGTATTGGGGGTCTGTTCCCAGTGGAGCCCAGGATCAAGTCCCAGTGGTGGGAACCACTGGAAACAGCAGCCTGGTCACAGTGGACATGTTTAGCTCCCTCCTTGACAGCACAGCTTGACTTGTGCTTCACTGTCATCCCACAGTCTCCCTCCCAGCCCACAGCCGTGTCCGGAGCGTGGGCTTGCGGCGTGGGAGAGGTTCCCTCAACAGGGAAGGCACCGGGTGCCCCTGAGCATGGGGCAGCCCACATGATGATGCCAACCCCACCTAGCGCCGTCTCTGCGGATCCCGTCGCTGGAGGCAGGAGGCCCTTGGGAAACAGTGTGCAAAATAGTCTCCCATCTTATCCCTAAGGCCTTAACATGGAGTGACTCAGCCTTTGCTTCGTCCTGGCAATCAGCTTATCCCTTGGCTTGGCTCCCAAACGCTTTCTCTCCACTCCTCCTTCCTGCCTCCCTCATCGCTCCCCGGTCGGATCAAACCGAGCTCCCTGCCTGCGAGCGCTCCCTTTATTTCTCAGCTATTCCCTAAATCTGTGGTTTGTCAATAAGCCCAGCGCTCCGAGCGCAGTATTTCCTCTGGCTCCCGCTGCTGCCACGCTTTTCCTGGCAGCCCGAGTTTCTGTTACCGTTTCTGCAAGGTTTATTTGGAAAGGCATAGGTATTATTAGTTGATTAAAAAATGCAATTAAGCCCTCACCAACTCAATTTTCCGGGATTGCCAGCAGCGACGTATTTTCAAGTAGTGCTTTGGGTTTTTTCCTGCAGCTCAGGTTGGCAGGAAGGTCTTCCAGACCCTTCTTGCTGGGGGCTGCGTTCATTGCTTTCTGCTTCTTGAAGTCTGGGCTTGCTACGGGTGTAAACCAACCTGCTCACGCAGCAGCACATCAGGTTCGATGGGAAAGGGAGTATCTCTTACTCCATCTGATGATATCGGAGTGGGGAGAGCAGCTTCTCAGCTTACCAGCCCGTCGGGATAATGTTAAAGGGAAATGTGGATGTCTTGATACGGAGCTCCCTCTCGTATCGCCAACTCCAGTGGAGTGCTGGCCCTTGTAGTTGTTGTTTAGGGACTTGTAGAGAGGGCGTGTTGCCATTACCACTCTTATTTTTGGCCCTGATCTGTGACTGCATGCACTTTGCTGCGTTTCTGCTACTTGTGTTTTTTCCCAAAGTTGGGGAATTTTGGAAAGGTATGGCCCTGGTGTGGTGAAGAAGTGACAGTAGAAGGGAAACCCTGAACGTTGTTAGACAAATGGGGAGAAAAGAGAAGGGCTTTGGAAAAGTTGGATATTTTCTTGGTATTAAAAAAAGCACAGTGAAATGTTCTATAAAGCAATGATTTTAGGTCCAGGGCAACGTTTTTGTATAAAGAAAAAGTAAAACTGCCCTTGATTTTGAGAGGCAAAGGCTCCCTTGATTGGGTACAGCACCCAGCTCTCCTCTCCAGCCTGGAGCATGAAGGTTTCTTTTTGGTTCCTTTATAACACTGCAATCCTAGAACCTTTTCCAGCACTTTGTGCACTTTAAAGCAGGGGAAGGACAAACCCAGGGAATGGTGGGTTTGTGCAGCCCTGGACAAGGACTCTGATGCAGGTAGTTAATGTCTTACAGTTCTCGCTCCCTGGCTTTCCAGTACAGCCGTTTCTGGAGCCAGGGCAGCGATACCCACCAGCATTGGTGGCATAGATGATCTTTGAGGTCCCTTCCAACCCAAACCATTCTGTGATTCTGTATTTGTGGGGGTCACCCCAGCTTTGGCTCACAGATCCATAAAACACACGCAGCTGATGAGGCAGCAGTGCCGTTGCCAGCCAGCTGCAATACCAGTATAGAAAAGTAGGAGCTGTTTTGATGACCATTTCTTAAAGAACAAAATCTCACAGTGTAGAGTCCTTAGGTAGATTTATGTCCTACTGCTGATTTCTGTCTTGCTGCTGCACCACCACCAAGGTAGAAAATGGCTTTTCAATGCCAACCTCTCTAAGGCTGGGCTGAATTCCCTGCGTGATGCTGTGTCCTCCAGAAAGGCAGGTTAATTAGTGACTTGAAGCTGGAAATGACTTTTCCATCCAGGTAAATGTGCAAGCTTTTGATTTAACCGCGATGAAGAGTTTTAAACGTAAAAGCCATTACAAACAGGCTGTTTCTATCAGTGTGAAACACATTTTGGCTTTTCTCATTTGGTTTTGTTCCTGCTGTCTGCCTTTCTTCGGAATCGACTTAAAACTTGGGACAAAAGCAAAAAAAAAAAACCTGGAGTTATTCATTTAGAAAATGTCGTGCAGCGAGCGAACAAAGGCCATTTTAAATGGAGAGTCCTCAAGGGACCTAAACACAGGCTTGGTCATTCACTCCCAATTCTCACTTGAACTTTCATATCTCATCAGGCCCTCTGAGCAGGAGGGAGGAAGAAGGCAGATGGGGAGGTGGCTAATAGCTTTGGCGTGACCTTGCAAAATCAGCCCTGCGGCCAGGAAAACATCTGTCCAGGTGCCGCGCGGTGCTTCAGCCTGTCAGGGCGTTGTAGAAAATGTTAAACATCTGTTGCAGGGTGTGCTGGCTGTTCTGGGCAGGACAGCTGCAAAAATCTGCCTTGGCGTGATTAATTAGTGCTAATAAGGCGCGTGGCTGTGCGGAGTCCTGGGTGCCTTCTGGGCCGTGGACAGTGTCCTGCGAAGCTGCTGTTTGTCGCAGCCCCGTGTCTGCTGCTGATGGAGGACCCACCTGGGCTGTGTTGGGGTCTTTCCCCGCTGCAGCCCGTGCCTCGGTGTTGCTTGGCTTGTTCCTCTGGCAGAGAGTGCCTGGAGCGGCCCCTCGCAGCCACCGCTACGGAAAAGAAGGGCAGAGAAAAGGAGCTGGGCTGTTTCCCAGTCGGGATGGATGTGGTGGATTGCTGTCTAATGGTGTGTTTGCACAGGGCACAGGCAGGTAGAGGAGGAATTGGTGGCCAGTGCTGACCAGCATCGCTCCGTCAGCATCCGCGGTGCTTTGGGGGTTTGTCTTTGCCAAGTATCTACCCCGGCACAGCTGATCCAGTCCCTGCCTGGCTCATACTTTAGCTGGACTCCAACTCACAGAATGGTCTCTCAGCTCTTGCCTAAGCCGTGTCTCCTTTCCTGAGGCCCAGACCCCTCCTGAAATAACATGACTTGCTCCACTTGAGGCATTATCCTCCTTCCATGCTAGTACTTTACTTCTGGTTGTGTCGCCTGGGTCCTGGATGTCATTGCATCTTTCTTCTTCCAAGTTTTCCTTTCAAAGAGCTAGACTTCCACACCTTCCCAGTGTGATCTGCCCTGCCATTCCGCTTGAGCCTCTAAATTATTGGAAAAAAAAAAAACAAGACAAAGCAAACCCAAATCATGGATGTTGCACATTTTCCATGCTTTGCTGGAAAATGCCCCCCTTGGAAGAATCACTTTGGTTTTCCCCACCGTGCCTGTGGTGAGCGATGCTGCTCTCCAGGGATGCACGGGGCATTGCCCACCCACACGTACTTCTAAAGCATCCTTTGAGCTGCAGCCAGCCCTGACCGTGTCTGGGCACGGACAGACGGACAAGCTGAGGGAGCCACTGGAGCAGCTAAACCTGCTCTCCCCTCCTCTGTGTTGCTACAGGAGCCACGTGCAGCAGGGAGGGGACATTGCTGGTTTAGAGCTCCGTCTGGGCTGCGGTTCTCTGGAGGCATCTGCAGAAGAGGGTCTGTCCCAGAGTGTGTGCTGCTCACTAGGGAGCGGGTGGGAGAGCTGGTGGCAGCAGCGGGGACATGGCTGGTGGCAGAAGCACGGAGCTGATGCTGCTTTTGTGCAGTGCTCAGACACCAGGTAAATGGCTCTTCCTCCTCCTCTGCAGGTGAATCTGGTCCTGAATGAAGGGAAATCCCTGGGCCTCATGATCCGAGGAGGGGCAGAATATTCCCTGGGTATCTACATCACCGGTGTGGATAAAGGCTCCGAAGCAGAGAGCACTGGCTTAAAGGTAAGAGTGACCCCGGAGCTGGGGCAGGAGGTGGAGCTCAGAGCTTCACACACCATGGTTGCTGCTGTTCCTGCCCCTCTGCCCCCGCCAAGCAGGACTCTCAACGGAGAGGTGAGCATCGCAGTTCTGGGGACGGCTTTTCAGGGCAGGTTCTTTGGATGTTTGAGATACTAAACCTAGAGGGAGCAAGGTGGTTGTGCAGAGAGAAATGCAGCCTTACAGCTCCTGGGGTGGGTTGTACTTGCCTTCTGCCTTAGCACACCCCCAACCTCATTTCTCCCCCTTGACATAGCCTGGGGAGATTTTTGGTGTAGGTATCCAAGAGTGCAGCCCAGAGCTGGTGGGTTAACAAAGTCACTCTCACCTCCCTGAGCTGGCAGAGAAGAGTTTCCCATTAAAGCTCCTGGCCCTGTGCCCTCTTCCTGCATCTCACATCCAACCCCTGTATGTTTGGAGCTGGTGTTTTGCACCTGCCTGCAGGGAGGTGTTGAGCTGCTGGTGGGAGCAGGTGCATGCTACTTCCCTCCTGCAGCACTGGCATTTGCAACGAGTGTCTTAAAGAGCAGAAACACCCTCAGGGCTAAAGCTGAACTGATCTATCAGCAGCTGATCTATCACTTGGTGTGACCTCCAGCTACATCAGGCTCCCTCCATAGGCAAATGAGTTCTTATAGGATGCTCTGTGGGTTGGCTGGGCCCTGCTGAGGCTGGACTGGTCAAGAGTCCTACAGTTTTGCTGCAGACCTCTTGTAGAGCAAGATCCTACATCTCTTTCATCCCACCAAGTAGACATGCACACACATCAGCTCCGAGCTCCTCCATCCTTCCTGCTGTACCAGGTCTCAGAACAGGATGGGACACCCTGGGACCTCAGCTGTTCCTGGAAGAGGCATTTGGGGTTAAAATTTTATCTGCTCTAGGACGTTCACCAATAAGATAAGTTGCAAAGGGAACTGTTGGAATTTGGGTGCAGCATCACTGTGCTGCTGGTGGATGGAGCATGTTTAAGACTCAAAATTTCCAGGCTGTAGCGTTATACTTCATCACTCAGGGTTTTTTTTTTGGTGTTTTTTTTTTCCTCTCTAAATGACCCAACTCCCTGCAATCACATCGTGCCCTTTTTGCTTCCTCCAGTGCAATCCCATGGGCTCTGAGAAATTGTTCTTTCCCTGCTCCTTGCGTCAGCCAAGAATCGATGGATGTTAAACTCTCTAACATTCTCTCAGTGCCCTGAAATGGTGCTGGACGGCTGAGGATCGAGGGGTGATCTGCTCTGGTGCCCCATCTGTATAGTGCAGTGATATGTTTCTCCCTTGATCAACCCCAGAGAGTTTAGGGCTAAGCCTTCAGCTTTGCTCCAGTGGCCTCATAAAGTCACTTAAATCTGTAAAGGCTGGTAGCACGAGGTGGGTGGACAATCTGGTGGAGAGGGCTGTGATTCGGGCTGGGTCAGATATGACCGTGTCCCTGTCAGATATGCCCCTGTCCCTGAAGTTACTGTGGCACAAAACGTTGTGTCCAACTGGGCACTGAGGTCTCCGGGGTTCCCTTTGTAGACAAGGAGACGTTTGTGGGGGTGATGCAACCATTTCTGAACTTAACCATCTGCTGCAGGCTCCTATTTCTCTCTGCTGGCTCTTTTTGACCCAGAATGAAAATGCTGAATTTGGAGCTTTGGATCAACCCAAGCCTTAATCTCTCTCTCAGATCCTTTGCAGGGAAATGGGGGTTTGGACCCTGCCTTAGGAGGGGTCACTTGGCCATGAGCTGTAGGACCATCATAGGGAGATGACTGAGTGTTTCTCAGCGCAGCAAGAAGTGAGAGCTGCTGCTGGAGACTCCCTGTGGACCATCCTTCTCCCCATGTGCGTTACTGCTCTGGGCTGGCCGCCCTCTGCCCACACACCTGGCCGGAGTGCGCGGCCGTCGCCCAGGGATGCCAACACATGCTTGTTCGTTAGCGCAGGGTTGCGATGAGAGACGGCGAGGACAGTGCTGTGGGACACGAGTGTTTCAAGACAGAGATGTTAAGAGGCACAAGACAATTTGTTTCTACCTAATAGAGCTGGGAAGAGAAGGACTGGCTCGAGCTGCCCTGGGTGACACGCGGTGACAGTGCCATCTGAAGCCAGCCTGTTTGTCCCCAGCACCTGCTGAGCTTGTGCCAGAGAGTCAGACTCCATCTCATAAACACCAACAGCCTGAAAGATTAAAGGCAGGAAAAGAAAAAGAATTTGCATTGTTTTCCGTAGGTTCTTGCTGTTCGTTTCGTGTTCAGTGCTTCCATACTGCTCCAAATCCCTCTCTTCACTGCACGGGATTCAGTACACTGCTCAGCGCAGCGAACGTCGCCCTGCAAACTCGGACACGCAGGAAAAGTCCCAGCAGTGTAACACGTGCCTTTATCCCCCCACCTCTCATTCCATACCTGCTGGGAATTCAAGAAAATAACCCCACGCGCTGTAGTGGAAGCACACGGAGCGATGTGTGCTGCTCCCCTCCGTCCCTGCCGAGCAAGGTCCCCGCGCCGCGGCGGTTGTTTGCACGCCGGAGCCTCTGCTTATTGATTCTTTACATCTCTCCCCTCGCTGTGCTGTTTCCTAGTACCTGATTTGTGCGTGCCAGCAGGCTGGTGCTTCCCCGAGTGCCAGGCTTTATGCGATTTCAGATGCACACAGATGCTTTGTGTATGCTCCAGGCTGTAAATTCAGAGCAACGTGGAGGTTTGGAGATAAGGAAAAGCCTTTTATGTTCGGCCGGTGGACACGGGGCGGGGGGGGTGTAGGCTGCATCCATGCGCTGCTGCAGGTGGTGGTGGAAGGGATGTGATGCCACCAGGAGGGAAGAACCGATGGGTGAATGTGATTTCCAGATAGTTCGTTGCTCCCTTAAAGTAGAAAAGTTGTGGGTTTGTTCACTGGGGGCTCCTGGGTCAGTGGGAGGGTTCCTGCCGACTCGCTGGGCAGTGAATTCTTCTGTGGGTTTTGCTGCTTTCACTGAATTTAACAAAATTGTTTGAGATGAACAGGTTACCCAGAGGAGTTGTGGCTGGCCCCCCTTTTTTTTTTGTTCAAGGCCAGGTTGGATGAGGCTTTGGGCAACCTGGTGTGGTGGAGGGTGTCCCTGCCCATGGCAGGGGGGTTGGAACTCGATGGTCTTTGAGGTCCCTTCCAACCCAAACCATTCTATGATTCTATGATTCTGCCAGACTTTTCATTTTAGAGAAAACCTTCTTGCATCTATGATATTAAATCAGAATTTTCGAATGTTTTAATAACATGTTTTACATTTCCCTTAAATTTTGATTAAAGGGCGAACGACGTGGTATTGAAAGCCAGTCAAAACCAAGGAAGTTTCCCTCAGGTCTGAATGCTAAGCTGCCTTTTGTCTGCTGCAGAAACCGGGGCCGTGGTCCTGAGAAGGGGTCCCAGAGGAGATGGAGCTCTGCTGATGCCAGTTTGGGTTCTGCTGCTCGGCTCCCGCCAGCTTCACGGCCCCAGGGCAGAGCGATCTGCAGGTGCCAGCAGAAAACGGGCTGGATCGCTGCAGTCAGTCAATAATTAAATATTCATACTCTTGGCCTTGGCCTTCTTTATGTTTATTCATGCCTGAAACTTCTGACAACGTGTTCTTTGGGTGTGTTTTAAAATATGCTGCCTGGGTGTAAGTTCTCAGGCTGACAAAGTGCGGGTTTAGCGGAGGACTGCGAAGGAGGAACGTGAGCCAGTCTTGTTTGCTTTTGGCTTCTGTCCTTCCTGCCTCCTTCGTGCCGTTGGCAGCGATGCCATCCGGGAGCTGAGCTTGTTCCACTGGCGTTCGTGGAATCGGCTCATCCCGATTTTTTCCTTGTTCATTTTTTCTGGTGGTGTATTTTGTCAGGATTTTTTTTTTTTTTTTTAAGCCAATGTTTTTTTTTTCTCTCTCTCCTTTATATCAGAAATAGCAGATTTCAGGTAGCTTGCTTTGAAACAAACAAAATACTGATTTCCCAGCAAGAAGGCTGGGGCAAAAAGAGGCTACCACGATCCGTGTGTATCCAATATACAAGAGAAGGAGAGAAAAAGAGAGACTCTAAACAGGAAGAGGTGAATGATTTTACATCGGCGGTGACAATCATGAAGCTGCCTCTTGAGAACCGGCTTGTGTTTTGAGGTCTGTAGACAGAGAAAGATACTGAAAAAGAGAAGATAATAGGATTCAGCCACAGGCTGCCTCAGAGTCTGAGAAATAAGCTGGATAGTGAAAAATTCAATGAGGAGGAGCGTGGTTGTAGGACATGAGATATAACCTTTGCACTGGTGTGGAGTGGTCCTTCAAACGATGTCACCTGTATGGGGACAGATGTCACTTAAAAGGCTCGTTTTCTGGGAGGCAACCAGAAAATCCCCCTCCAGCAGTGCCCAAACCACTGCCTGCCCCGAAAGACCATCTTCTCTCCTTGTATGCCTTCATGTCCAGTTTGTATCTGCTTTGTTCCTCGTGTTTGTGTTGCAAGGTGTTTGGGGAGAAGAACGTGTTTTCAGGCAGCACTTGGCACCCGCTGTTCCCTTACCTCCCTCCCAGATCCATCTCATCCTTCCAACAGGCTGTATTGACCTCGTTGGACGTGGATCAACTGCCCCAACCCGTTTTCCTCCTGGAGAAGCTGAGTGCCGCCTTATTTTCCTGCGAGTCGTAATTTGGTCATTTCCAAACCAATTCATGCTTTTTCCCGCCCGTATTTTTAATTTCTTAAGGTCTGCTTTTGGTAATTATTTGTGCTAGAGGGAGACTCCTTCTCCTTTAGTGGTATCCACAAGCGTGATTTAACCTCTCTCCTAGCACATTAGTGGCATTAAATAAGACTAGTGCTGGTGCCAAACCATTTGGCATCCTATTAGCCCTGTTATTCCCAGCTCAATTTGGTGTCATTTAACATTAACTCATGTTTAAAATCTCCAGCCTATTTTTCTGTCTGGGTGGCTGAATTTCTCCCAGAGCCAACTCTGATTATTTATAAG